GTTTTTCGCTGAACCTGGATATTTACACGATGTGAAAGGTGAGTTTTCATGTAGTAAGAATATAAATTGTGAATACACACACACGTTCCTCTTTGAAAGTTGTCTAGTTGTTGATGTCTTTTTAATTCATACTATCGACCTTATTATTATTATTATTATCATAACTATTACTGTTATTACTATACCCATATGTCAATGCGTTCTGTCTGCAATTGATATTATTACCTTTCAACATGTCTTACAATCTTTCTTCTTTGGGTCGTTCTAGCTGACCAATTGAAGACAGACGGGACAGAATCTTTTTTCAAATTCCGTCGACCAGCCCGGTCAGGGGGCAGAAAATCTTCCTCTGCAAAATGTGCAGAGCAAACCCTGGTGCCTTCAGTGAGCTAGAAAAAAATAAGATATTAAAGCTAAAAAATTGCATGCAATCCAAGAGAAACATAATTATAAGTAACACGTAGATAACCACGCAAATTGAATGACAGTACATTGAGTGAAATTTCACAAGTACTACTATTCAGGGGGTTGTAGTTAGCACCTACCTTAAAGTTGTCACCAATGTCTCGTCTAATTTTTACGATCCAGTTTGCTCTGAGTTGATCGTCTTTCTTAGGAAAACGATGAAAAGACAACGAGCTGTTGTAACGGGAGTCATTGTTACATTGTGGAACACAACAATGCAACGCAGAACCTCGTTTTTTCTTCTTGACAGGTTCTAAAACAGAACAAAATGTTGTTCTCAGTTTTGTGTTCGCAATTGGTTGGAGAAAAGATTATGATAACGAAATACCACGGTGAGAATTTAGCCACTCACTTACGGCAAAAATGAAAGCGAGCGAGAATGTGAACACTAGTTGTGTTCAACGAACTTAAAAGAATTCAACACGCAAAATCAGAAATAGAGATCATAATGTTCTGGATTCAAGCAAATCTAATTCCTAACACTAAAAACCGTTTTCTGTATCGAACAACGTTACATTTCTAAGACTAAAATATGTCTATTAACAAGGAAACTCACCGTCACTCGTTCCCGAAGGATCGGCCATATCTTGTCTTATATTTGAGCTTTCGCCTGGCTTTTACTCCCAGAGCAAAGGTAAATCAGGCGAACTTCAAGTCCAGTGAAACTGAAGTCACAATAAATCTCGTTTGTTCTTTTACAACTAGCTTTTGGGATATTTTCGACCAAAAAGTCAAAGTTCGCTTCGCTTGAGTTGATCAATTCTTGTACAGTACAATGAGCGGGACGCTGGTTTGCTTGCTCACCAGCAATGCGTTGCTATGTGGTAACCAAGCACGTGACTAAGTCCTGCAAAGAGCCTATTTGCACTCTATCAGTTATTGAGAATGAACAAAGTACATTATGATAATACTGGGAAAGCTCAATCAGATACTGTTAACAACAAAACATCAGCATATAAGTTGCACTTGCAGATAAACCACATCTCAAGTTGAGCTACCAGTACGTACTCAAATTTTTGAAAAAAGTTTTTGAAAATAAATTAAAAAAAAAAGAATAAAAATATAAGTTAAGTATTTAGAAAGTTACTCTATTTTTGTTGCTTCATCAAATGTACATGGGCTTACAGTCACTAAAATTGAAAATGTGGAATACTTTGAATCCTTACCTCTGATTTTACGCTATGATATTGAGGACATTTGCTATCTGCTGACTTGGACTTACATGTATGTTTGATCTTACCCTCACTAATTGTTCTTTGTCCTAGGCGGAGATATTTTCCCCTTGAACTTCTGTATAATATTCTGGATGGCATGAGCTCTGTCAAGTTAAATGTTTTCCACTTCCATTTCGCAGACTTCTGTCGATTCAGTGTCCAAAGCAAACTGTAAGTTCCCGAATGCAGATGGTGATACTGCAGCTTAAATTAATTTATAACCAAGGCATTTACAAGCTTGTTCTCTTTTAGTTTTACATTTCTGAACACAGTTGGTCAATCTGCTGTAAAGTGTTTTTCTACTTGTGGCCATGGTAACCAAAATCATTTTGACAAGTCTTGTAGTTAACTTTTTGTTGCCGCACAAATGCTTTATATTTTAATTAGAACAACATGCAGTTCTACATTTTATTTTAACTTTCAGCTATCCAGATTTAAGAAACAATGAGAGTCAATTTTACTCCCAAGAACAAGTAAAATCTCTGGTGTCTTTTGCCGCCGACAGAGGAATAAGAGTAATTCCAGAAGTAGAATCAGCGTAAGATATGAAGTTTCCTGGAAATTATTTATTAAGAAATTAGATCTACCTTAAATTTCTGTATTAAAAAAATCTGCCTAAGAAAGGTCACCTCACACTTTTCTCTGCAAGTATTATTGGCAGTGCTTCCTGGTCTTACACTATTTCAAAACAAACGAATTGGAGTTCAGACATATTCTTCCTAAACACTGCTGGTCTGACAAAACAACAAAAATTAAGCTGATATTGAGATCCTTTGGAACACTTCTCTAATCACTCTGCTACTGGACCGTAAAATAATACAGACTATTATTTGCCAACAAGATTATTTGACAGTGTCACCAGGTCGCTTATGTTATGCAACAACAAGGAAAGTTATTATGTGATTGTCTTTTTTACAAGTTCTTGAACACCCTCCACACATGTTTTGTAATCAAGGTCTTTTCAACAACTGCCCAAACTTGTTTTGATAAGTGCAATGTGGGTTGCTTTTGGTTTAATTTTAATGCCATATTTTGAAGCTGTTACATGAATTACTGCAAGAATCAAACAGACTGAACTGATTGTTGGTTCTGTCTGAAATAATTAGTTAGCCCATGATATTGATGCCTTTATTAATGTTTACTTAATCACCATTTGATTGTTGTTAATTTAGACAAGTTCATTATTTATTAACCTTTAGATTCCATGTCCTTGGAATGATAGGGCTAGAGAACAAAACTAAAGGGCTTTATTTCTGCAATAACTCAATGGGTTATGTTGAGCTGTATAATGATCCAGAGGTAAGTTAGCTTAATAACACTCTATAATCACTAATTTCTGTGTGGGATTGACTGCAATGATTGTCAGATAATTTGAAAGGAAAATGATGCGTTAATCAGGGCTCGATACTAACTTTTCAACATACTAGCCAAGTGGCTAGTGACATCTAAGATGTTTTTAGATGTTACAACAATTTCAGTCTGTTTGTTAGTCAAACTGGCTGGTGGAAATTGAAAAACCAGTAGCCAAAACTGAATTTCTACTAGTCTGTGGCTAGTGGACTACCGTTAGTGTCGAGCCCTGCTAAAGTGCACCTAAACCCAAAAAATTTTTTTCGCTTAACGAAATAAGTGTATTTTTTGGAGTATTTCTGTGCAAAAATTTTTTTATTTGCTCAAATCTTCAATTTTCTGTGCCCAGTCAAAATACGGAAAATCGGCCGCCATCCTGCTCCACGGCCGAGTTTAAAGAGGAATGGCTCTAGCAAGTAATGTGACGTCAAATCGAGAACACGAAAGTCTGCATTTCATACATTTTTACTTGTTTGGGAAGGTTGTAGTCAATATTGGCCGAAAATATGCCAACTAAGTGTGTTGTAGAAGGATGTAGCAACGTGCGAAATTTGCAAGAGGGTATCGTGCTACATGCATTCCTGATACAACACACCTAGCCGGCATATTTCGGACAATATCGATGGCAACCTTCCCAAACAAGTGAAAATGTGTGAAATGTAGACTTTCGTGTTCTCAATTTGACATCACATTACCCGCTAGAGCCATTCCTCTTTGAACTCGGTTGTGGGGCAAGATGGCGGCCGATTTTCCGTATTTTGACTGGGCACAGAAAATTGAAGATTTGAGCAAATTAAAAAGTTTTTGCACAGAAATACTCCAAAAAATAAGCTTATTTCGTTAAGCGAAAAAAAATTTTTTAGTTTAGGTGCACTTTAACTGAGACAGGGTTTAGCCAACACACATCTTACAGTTGTTCTCAGTAACTACAATTATAATGCCAACCTATGGAAGTCTGAATTCTGGAGATGTGTGATTTTTGTGGAACATGATATTGCAACTATCCCCCCCCTCCCCTCCCTGCTCCCTCCCCCTTCCACATCCCGCCCGAAATTTGTAACCTCTCCTTTCCATCCCTTGAAGCTTAATACAGACCCAAACACTGTGAAAAGCACAACTTGTATCCATCCTCAAACTAAAAACCCTTGAATGTTTTTGTAATGGAGTTTTTGAGCTGAACAATAAAACAGCCCATAGAACTCACAATAACACGGTTTCCTGGTTTATTCCGCTTCAATCTAATTCACGAAACTCTCACTAAATTCGATGGAAAAACTTTCCGTAAACTCACACTCTCACAACCTTCTTGTTATTTTTACTCAACCCCGTTTTCGCTTTTACTACACGCACGTGCTCACCACCTTATTTGGTAGCCCTAGCCCAAATTTGGTAGTGCTGCTCGACGTCACAAAACTGTGAGGGGTAGGCTTGGTAAATTTCTCGTACAATTTTGCAGTCTTAAATGGTCAAAGGTCTTAAACAAAGGAAAATACATATTAATCTAATTGGAAATCATTTCAAACCTGAAATCATGCAAAACTCACAAATTAACGACGTCATGGGATTGTAGGATTTACTTTTAAGCTTGCTTTCTCCTCTTCCATAGTTAAAAAAATATATCATTTTCTTTGATAATGAAATTCTGTCAGTGAATCTTACCAGAGACTCAGTGACTTATTCCAGGAACTCAGAGGTTACCCAGGGATCGGAGGTGGTTAATCTATCCCTTCAGCCTGGTGGCATGCGTTTGGAATACCAGCCACTTCATCAGGCTAAGATTTTGACAAATCAATAGCTTTCTTACAGAGTGAAACTTTATCCACTTGAATCTGTATACTCTCCAGATATGTTATGGACAACAATGCATACTGTTTACTAGGGTAGTTGCTTTTTGTGTAACCACCATCTTGATCTTGTCTAGGGAGTTACAATGAACACAATGAAAGGCATTCTTGAAGAAATGATGACACTGTTTCCTGATCAGTACTTCCACCTTGGGTTGGATGAAGTGATTACTACATCCTTGTGTACTTTGGAAAGTAAGTCAGTAGAACAGTCACACCCACGTGTTGACAAGACCAAGAATAAATGAATGTATATAAATATATTTAGTATAATTTCAGAGCTGAACAAAGAGTTTCCAGCAATCTGATTGGTCGAGCAGTTCCTTATATGACGCTATATTAACCGCTCCACGCGATTTCTATAAAATGTTGAAATAAAATGTTAATGAATGTCACTAAAATGTTATGATTTTAGAAATTTCTCTGTTGTTCAGCTCTGAAACTATACTAAAACAATTATTCGCCTAAGGTTCGGTGATCATTGTCGAATAATCCCCTCGACTTTGTCTCGGGGATTATTCGACGATATTCACCTCGCCTGCGGCGAATAATTGTTAAATATATATATAAGGCATATATATAAACCCTTTAACCTCTAACAGTGACCAGTATCTAATTTCTCCTTAAAATATCACCCCTGAATCATTAAGGTCACAAGATTATAGGAAATGATCACTAACTGAAGCACTTGATTGCAAAACAGATTCTCACTGTGAGCACCTCAGGAAATGTATAGAGAACAGTATGGAGAATGTACATATTGATGTTTAGAGTATGGAGAGTACATACAGGGACTAAATTGCATATATTCAACTTCAACTTCAACTTTAACTTCAACTTTGAAGTTTATTGATTATGGCAAATATTACAGAAAGCAATATCCACTGCCTGCAGTTAGCAGATTAGCTAGTCGAGGTGAGCAGTGGTTACATTTATGAATATAAGAAGCGGAGTTTTCAGGAAATTTTTGTTATTGAGTTGGGTAAATCAATATAATCATTTTCTTCTGGGAGTATTTGGAGTAAAGGTAAAGTTATTTTTGGACATTTAATGCATTTCACACAGTTACTGTAAACTGTTCCAAATTTTTACACCATACCTTGAAAAAGACTTAGTTTGTTTGTCGAACCTTGAGTGTTTCACATAACAGTCACCTCTTGAAGATTATCTTGTACTATATCAATGAATATTGGATTGGGAAGCAAATAAGTCGTAAATTCTGAGAGGGACATTGTGGGGAATTAATTATGAAAGTATTCTGCTAAACCTAGTGCTTCAATACACAAAAAGTATTATCTGAAACATTCAGATACTTTGATGAGTACAAATTTTCATATCATTTTGTCACCAAATAATATCCCATATCACTTTGCTTGTAAGAAGTGTGACTTAAGGTTGAAATGAATTGATTTTGAGAGAAGCTATCAACACTTGGACTTGATGAACATGGAGAAATTCAACTTGTAGTAACAGAATATTTTTGATTGAGTTTTGTAAAACCAAAACTAAAACGTGATAAGTGTCAGAACAGATGGATTGAAATTGTTCAAACACAAAGAAAGCAATAAATCAAAATGAAAATTAGCAAACTGCCCAAAGTACGGGGCCTGCACTGACAGTGACTTGTATCTACAAGTACATAATATTTAAGAGGTACAGGAGGTCAGGGCATGATTAAGTCTTCCAGACCAAACACAGAGTCAGTTAAAGCAATTCCAATACTAGTGAGGTTGATTTTACTTCCAACGCATTGGCAGTGTGTCGGCCAACACGTTGGTGATTTAATTTGTCATCTGACACATCATTGGTAGTGTGTCGGCCCACGCGGTGGCAGTGTGTCAGCGGACACCCTGGTAACTAGTATGTCAGCTGACGCGTTGGTTGATCTTACCAATGTGTCCATGATTTGTCAGTAACTTCTGTCTGCCAGTGAGTTGGGAAACACGTTGGCAGGATCAGATGCTTTACCCATTTCTGGATTAATTTGAACTACGCACCTAACCAAAATTGTGATTAATAGCATTAGCAAGGACTTAAAGAGGGAATTTTTTCAATTGGATGCAGAAACCAAAGAGCTGGAACAGGAGCTGCTCAAATTTCTTCAGCAGAAAGGCAAGACACCATATGCTTGGCAGGAAGCACTATTATCAACAGCTGCGGTGAGTTGATGATGAAACACTTGTCATAAATGATATTGATTAGTACCTAATTAAAAACAACTTGTACATAAATGAAATAAAAGTCAGAGAGATTTAAGGAAAAGAAATGAAGACTTGTACATACAATTTCTGTGATGAAAATGCAGGTTTTCTTTGGAGCTTTTTGCTCTGCAGTTTATTCATCACTTGAGGCTGCAGAAGATTGAAAATTTGTCTTTGCCTTTTGAATACTTTTAAATCTGCATAAAGGAGGTTTACAAGAGATTGGAGAAGTTAATGAACAGCATGGCTCTATACTAACTTTTCAACTTACTAGCCAGTAGTGGCTAGTGATAACTTAGATGTTACAACAATTTCATTCTGTTTACTAACCAAACTGGCCAGTGAAAATTGAAAACATCAGCCAAAACTGAATTTCTACTAGTCTGTGGCTATAGTTGGCTACCACTAGAGTTGAGCCCTGAACAGGATTATTTTTAATCAGTATTGTAGGATTGGGGTTTGGACATCATTCAAGAGATGTTTATTACTTGTTAAATTAGGGCAGTCACCCTGAATAATTATTCAATGTAGTAAACTACTGGGCAATTGCACTGAAAACATTAATTTTACCAATCCTCTAAGTATCAGTTTGTCACAACTAAAAGGAAAGAAAATTTCATTAGTATTGAAAGATTTACCACCAGCTTGCTAGAGCTTTACAGAGTTTCATGTAGTGAAATGACTCAATTAAAAACTGGATTATTGGACAATGCAATTCAAGAGTTTTCAGTGGCTCATAGCCATCATGTGCTATGAGCATTATATTTTGCATGCTCATGAAAAAAAGTTAAACCAGAAGTGTTTTTGTACATCATAACATTCCGTTTATTCTTACAAAATAAAGTTGAGAAGATTTATCTTTATTTTGGGGGTGTTTTTAATAACACAATATTATTCATCTACTTGCAGTAGTTGGATATGAGATGAAAGCTAGGCCTTGTTGGCTATGTATCATCGCATATCCAATATGGGCTTGTAGATTAATTGTTTTATATCTTTGGATTTTGATATTTTAGGCAATAAATGGAACAGTACTACAAGCATGGAAAGGTGTATCATTGAAAACTCTCATTGATAAAGGATTTCAAGTGTAAGCAGAGGAAAGCATTTCTAACTGACTGATTGACTTACTCTCTGACTGATTGATTGACTGACTGATTGATTGACTGACTGATTGATTGATTGACTGATTGATTGACTGACTGATTGATTGACTGACTGATTGATTGATTGACTGACTGTTTGACTGACTGTTTGACTGACTGACTGACTGACAACTACTTGAATGACTGGCTGACTAACTAACAGCTAACTGAGTGACTGACTGACTGACCGATTGACAGACTAACAATTAACTAACTGACTGACTGACAGATTGACCAACACACTGACTGACAAACTAGCTGACTGGCTGACTGACCAATTGTTTGTCTGGCTGGTTGACTGATTGACTGATGAATTAACCAATCAACTTACTGACTGAAAGTCTGATCAACAGTCTGACTGCCTGACTGACTGACTGACTGACTGTCTAATTGACTGACTGACTGGCTGACTGTCTGATTGACTATGTGACTGACTGACTGGCTGATTGACTGTCAGACTGACCAACTGTCTGACTGACTGTCAGATGGACTATCTGACTGACTGACTCACTCTCTGATTGACTTACTGGATAACTGACCAACTGACTGTCTGACTTACTGTTTGACCTACCGTCTGACCTACCGTCTGACCAGAGTGACCAAAGAGTAGAGCAACAATTTTCAACCTATTTATAGGCAAACTGAGTGGCTGACCACTTACAGTATAGGTTTAATGATTTTCCTCTTTTTCTTGGTATATTTATCTAGGATAAATGCATTGCAGAACTACTTTTACTTGAATGTTCTTTCTAATGCGAGCGTATCATGGACTGACATTGCAACAGGAGTAAGTGCTGAATTATGAAAATTTCATTTCATTAAATTTTCTTTTTCACAAGGGACACAGGGAAACCTAGTGGTTAACACAATGTAACTTCTCCATGCAATTCAAATGTTATCTTGAAAACACGTTATAACAGACAGGCTTATCTTGCCTATCAGCAAGAAAGAGTTCTCTAGTCTATAAGTTACCAAATTCTCTTGTCCAACGCAGCCCTTAAACCACATAAGAGTGACTAACATCTAACTTCTCTTTGCAATATCACTTCTGAATCACAAGGTCACAATGATTAGGGATATGATTACCAACTGAAGAAGCCCTTGATTGTTAAACAAGTTCTCCTCATCAGCACCTTAGAAAATGTATAGAGAACAGTATGGAGAATATGCATACTGATGTCAGGGGGTAAAGGTTCAAAGGAGGGTAGCAAAGGAAAGGGTCTGGATCCTATTTCACACCTGACTTTTAGAGAAATTCATGCATCGCACATATAAAGAGAAAATTTTAAATCTCTTTTTTTTGTTTTGAAGATTTCAGAGAAATATTAAGGTTTTCATGGGTCATGTATATTTCAGAAGGCAAATCCCACCTCATGCTGGTTCATAAATTCACAAATCCTACTTGTCCTTCTCTCGCATTACATATTGATTTTGACTTTAATCTTGCATCACATGTGAACTCTTTGCCATGCTCTTACTCCCCTAACACCCTAAGATCATTATTTATATTCTCCATACTGTTCTTTACACATTTCCTAAGGTGTTCACCAGGAGAATTTTTTTAACAATCAAGAGCTTTTTAGTTGGTGATCTTTTTCTCTATTCTCATGACCTTAAAGTGTGATTCAGGGGTGACATTGTAAGGAGAAATTAGATGCTGGTCACTTCATATGCTGGACACTTTTAGAGTTGAAAGGGTTGGAGGGAAATGTGCAGCAGTCAGCTGGAAGATTTGCTCATTAAAATGGATCTTGGCAGTAATAAAGGGTTTTTAAAATAATTTTGGCTGGGGATTAAGAGGACATCTAGTTTCAAGCCCTGGCCGTATATCATTTTGTCTCATTCTTTGGCAAGAAAATCTGCAAGAGTCTCTATCCAAGGGGTATAGAATGGGAAGGGGTGAGAGTTTTTACCGTTTTCACCTCAAAAACGGTGTGTAACATTTTCTACACTCAGGGATGTAGCTAGAGTTTTTAACAGGGGGGAATCTAGCAATGATATAGGCAGGTATTTGGGCTTGGGAATTTGGTTATTTTTATTCATTATTTCGCCTACATGAGTTACAAATACTGCTGGCCATTGAGCCAGCAAAATGGATGATGTGATGCAAATGATGCGAACGTCACACTAAATGGAGTTGTTACAATCCTTTCAGTTCAGATAAGTCAGCAATGAAGGTGTAAACAAACAAAATAAATAAATAACAATCTTTTGACAACATTTAAAAACATTTTGGAGAAAGAAGTAGTGCTTTACAGCCAGAAAAATCGCGCTCACAGCCAAGTAATCTTCCCGGGTTCTGGCTCTTATCTACTTCCCTGTACACTGTTCTCTACATGTTTTGTATGGGGATCACATACTGTACATGTACAAGGCTTAACTATATCTTATATACTGTAATTCCTCTATTAAGCCCCCTCCTTCTGCTAAGCCACCCCCCGAATAAGCCCCTCTCTTGAAAGGAAGAAATTTATTAAACCACCCACCCCTCCCTATCAAAAAACAAAAATTCAGAATGACACTTCATGTCAGTAAGTACCAAAGATTTATAAATACAAGTACTGTAATTTTAGTTCATTTGACTTTAGTTTGCCATTTTGTTGTGTTTCTACTTTAGTGATTTTACAAGATGATTTTGAATGTCATTGGTTGTGTTTGACAGTTAAACCCTAATGAACAGACAATGCTCCTTGGTGGTGAGATGGCAATGTGGACAGATGATTACTGCTTTGTCTCTCAGTGTTTTTTGTACAAAAGGGCCAAACCTGTTGCTTGGTGGATGTATGGGCCAGATGCTGAGTCTCAGTTTACTGAATCAGTCAGTGGCATTGTGAGTATTGATCATAGTGGTACATGATATTAGAACAACATTTCTTTGTCTATCTGGCAGAAATCTTTGAGAAAATTAAGCACGTAGAGTGCACTGATGATTATGATAATTTACGTATATGTGCACGATCCTTCGCAGTAAAGCACTATTTGAGCAATAGTGAAAATCAGACCTGAAAAAAATTTCAGGCCTGTACGGGATTCGAACCACTGACCTCTGCGATACCAGTGCAGCGCTCTACCAATTGAGCTAACAAGCCAACTGGGAGCAGGCCATCAAATTAATTCGATATAAACCAAATAGTTCTCAAATAGTGCTTTACTGCGAAGGATCGTTCTTATATACGAAGTAAATAGTGATAGGGATTGTAAAGTTCTAGGTCGGTAGCGGAAGTCGATGAAGTCGAATGAAACAAACAAGCAATGCTACTTTCACTTCCAACTCAAGCGAGACCTGGGGCGCTTTCCATTTGACCAAAAG